AAGGAAGCGCTAGAGGCGGTCTAGAACAAAAAAAAAGGAACAGAGATAAGCAAAAAAATCTGCTAGCTAGGGGTCTAGTCTCAGCTGAGCTGGTAAAGGAACTCTCACTAAAAATACGATAGAACCCATGAGGCCTTGATGATTATATATCTACTAACGGCAAAGCAGAGGGTTATTCAAGAGTGTTTCTCTCGCAATGAAAAGGACAAAGACATCGCTAGAAACAGCTGACTACCGGAATTCGGGGGTTCCGGTGGGGTGAGTACAGTGGGGAAAGCACTTGAACCCCCAATTGGACGAGGACTTCCCCATTATACCCAACGATTTTACACGCACTTGACTCCATTCTACCTATCTAGCAGACATAATTTTGCCAAGTTACATGGCCGATTTTCCACAACATAGCCCGCGCGCGTTGACATTGCATACACGGAAATAAAAAATTCATGAAAGTTACATTCCATATAAGAATATAAGATATGAGAAAGAGTAGCAATTTAGAAATATAATAAGAATATATATTTATTATATATATTATATTATTGAATAAATTACGATAATTTACGCGCTCGGTTGAATCTAGAAAATTTGTCACTTTAGAAGCGACGGTAAAATTTTCATCTTACGTAAGATAAATTTTGAAATATATTTGTCAATTATACTAGCAATATTTTAAGATCGCTTTTATATGTCAGTTTTAGTCGTTGCCAACCTTTTTGTCATATTTATTCGACCAGAAAGCAATGGAATGCTTTTAGTCTGTCAACGATTGTAAATCTGTTATCTCGGGTTTCATGACGGACATGTCGTATTTCAAAACGGTGTACAAATAGACTTTGCGAAAAATTTCATCGCTTTCAGCGTGGTAGCATGATAAGCAACATTCGACGAATAGAACATATCTATATCTTCCGCTTTTTTTTTTTGTAAACAAAGGAAGAGTGAAATAACTCATCTTTTACATGAACACAATAGAAAATTTTTCATTCGTTCGAATTTATTCGTGGTGCATGTGAAACGTTCTATTCTATAATCCGATCTCACACAACTTTTAGATAATTTGATCGCGTGAAAGCAATTTTAACAATTTAGTCTGGTATAACCAGACGAGCAAGTCTGATCCACCACGCCTTCCCGACCACGTGGTCGTCGCTCCCCACGTTTCCCCTAACCATAGCGGCTCCTATATTTCATCGCGGCTGTTATGATAATAGTCGTATAAGAGAGCATTTATGAATGCAAACTCACCTGCTATAGCCATCCAGGGGTAGAAGGTATGGTTGGTAGTAGGTTGCTGATGCAGTTGCGTGGCGACCGGTTGACTCGCGGACGAGTTTAAACTGCAGGTGTTCCAGGACGATGTGAGGGATCTTGACGAACTGTTATTACCAGGACTCGATGCTGGATCACCGCCTACGAGGCCACCGTAGCTGCTAACCCTTGTACTCTCCGGGGTACACGCGGAAGGACGTACGACCGAATTACTCTGGCTATTCGTTCCCGAAGTCGCTGACTGCCAAACGTCCTTGACCGCCGCCGCTGCCATCACCGCGGCATAACCGTTTTGATGGGTCGATGTTTGATCCTGTTGCTTACAGTCTTTCGTTGTCGTTGTTGAATACGAGGATGTGGTGTGACCGGTTGCCTCCGGTGTCGTCGAATAAAGCTTGCAGGCCGTCGCAACGCTCGCATCATATGGCGAGTCTTGAGGTGGTCTCGTGTTACTTCCACCGCCCGGGTGAATTCCTAATGAAGACGATGTGTGATGATGATGCTGCGCCGAAGCGTAAGGCGACATACCTAATCCGAGTGGAAAGCTTCGATATGCCGCTGCGGTGGCTGGATCATGATGCTGACTCGCTGCTCCTGTTTGATGATGGTGGCTTCCGTAGAAGCCACCCGCGGTCTGCTCAAAATACGAGTTCATTATTCCGGGTATTTTGAATCACTTGCACTAAAACACCAGCACTCAAAAAAAGCGATTGTAGAAGTCAAAGTTCAGCGACCCGCAATTACATGGAGTGCACACGGCTAGTTAAATTTCACTAGTCCGTACTCCAACTCCAATGTTGGATTATACTGATTTAACTTCTTTTAATTAAACAGAAGTGAGAAACCTCCGATCTTATACTATATTACGAGCTAAAACGTACACGTTTAAGAAAACGATATGCTGTTTGACACAAGCGGTGACGGGGTTGACGAGGGACAAATAAATGAGCATTAAACAGTTTTAAGAGGTCATAAAAGTCATTGGTAGGTATAGCCGGTTACACCTACAGTGTCAATGTCAGTAGGCCGTAAGAGAGTAATTCTGAATGGGTTTCATGTCAACAGCGAGAGCTTTTATGATCTTGTTATGGTTACCACTACAGGCAAAGTACAAACCGGTGGTCTCGACTATGGAAACAGGCGATGATCGTTAAACCGTTACGATGCAATAAACTTAGGTAATAAGACGGGCTATAAAATTGCCTGTGGGTTCCTCTACCGCGTGCTCGCCCGACGACGGTTCGGTCAGCCGGCACGCGACAACCACCCTCGCGCGGGCGGCTTTTTCTTCTTCCTCTTTTTAAAATAAATTAAATTCACGAATAGTTAAATCAAGGCTCGTCTTAAGGAAGTGATTAATCTGTCGGAATCAAAGGTGACTCCGCTAGTCCGCACTGCACTAGCACTTGTCGTATTGTGACTTCGCTGATGACTGTGAGGTCCGGTACGAGTCAGAGGATGATCGTAACGAATCACGGTATGCCAGTGCGGTGGTCCACGGCACACTACCGCTTTTCTCGCGCCCCGTGTACCGCCACTCTGTACCGTCGTCCGTCTCTTACTCGCTCGTTCACCTCGTTTTGTCTCTCTTCTTCATAGTCGATTTCTCTCGCACTCTCTCCGGAGTTTCCTTCCCTGTTTCACCAACTGCCGTCCCTCTGTGCACTCTCTCTCACTCTCTGTCACGGTCACTCCTTCCCATTCGTGCGGTTGTCGCTTCTCACTCGCGCATACTCTTCCTCCGGAGTACTACGTCCTAACGGAGAGATCGTAGTGCCGTATCCCTCCTTGTTCCTCGTATACCATCCCCCTCCTGGTACGATAACTGATCTCTCGTTCTCTCTACCGTCGTTGTTCCCCTCTTCCACCCCCAATGTTCCCCCCCACAATTGCTCTCTCACCCTCTGAGTCTGTCCCGCTCCACCTCTCAACGATATTCGTTCTCTCCCTTCCCATTCGATCTATTCTCTCTCTCTCTC